CCGTAGAACAAAGAAAAATTTCAAGACAATAAAACCATCGCAGGCCTGTGTAATGGAATTGTTGCGTGTATTTCTCTATTAAATGTGTTTGTTTTTGTTTTTTTATCTGCAGGCTAAAAAATTTGTTGAAAGTGCACCTATAGTGGTTAAAGCAGATATTCCGAAAGATGAAGCCGAGAAACTGAAGGAAGCCCTAGAGGCAGTAGGTGCAACCTGTGAGGTAGAATAAAAAAAATCGGCAGATGGAAACGAAAGGAAAATGTGTTAATACAGAAACAGTAGTGTTAGGAAGTGACTTCTATTATCATTAAAAATGCCATTTCAAGTAAGATAATTATGTGCTGGTTTCTTCTGTGCAGAAACAACTTTAATACCAAGTGAAATAGGTATGGAATATTTTGAAGCACGTGTATTATACATTACTTACACTGTAGAAAGCTTCATGCATTTGTCTGCCACATCATACAAAAAGTGTAATGGCTAATATCTGTTTTTTGTTAGTATAGAATAAATTTCTTTTTCAAATCTTCTGTGTCATCATTCAGAATGATTGATGTGTTAAGGAAAGAGCTAACGTGTTGAATACAGCTTTTATTATGCCAAATTTTGTTATATAACAAGAACATATGTCACTTTAAAGTAGATTATGTACACTTTTTTTTTACTGATATTTTTTCATAAAGATTAGGCTCAAAACATTTTGTAAAGGACTCTTGAAGTCCCAAGTACAATAACACAGAAGATAATGGTTACCTCGTCACACTCAGAAATATGTTCACTGATGAAACAGAAGATAATGGTTACATCATCACACTCAGAAATATGTTCACTGATGAAACAGAAGATAATGGTTACTTCATCACACCAGAGAAATATGTTCACTGATGAAATAGAAGATAATGGTTACATCATCACACCAGAGAAATATGTTCACTGATGAAACAGAAGATAATGGTTACCTCATCATACTCAGAAATATGTTCACTGATGAAACAGAAGAAAATGGTTACCTCGTCACACCAGAAATATGTTCACTGATGAAACAGAAGATAATGGTTACCTCATCACACCAGAAATATGTTCATTGATGAATCAGAAGATAATGGTTACTTCATCACACTCAGAAATATGTTCACTAATGAAACAGAAGATAATGGTTACTTCATCATGTTCAGAAATATGTTCACTGATGAAACAGAAGATAATGGTTACTTCATCATGTTCAGAAATATGTTCACTGATGAAACAGAAGATAATGGTTACATCATCACACCAGAAATATGTTCACTGATGAAACAGAAGATAATGGTTACATCATCACACCAGAAATATGTTCACTGATGAAACAGAAGATAATGGTTACATCATCATGTTCAGAAATATGTTCACTGATGAAACAGAAGGTAATGGTTACATCATCATGTTCAGAAATATGTTCACTGATGAAACAGAATATAATGGTTACATCATCATGTTCAGAAATATGTTCAGTGATGAAACAGAAGATAATGGTTACATCATCATGTTCAGAAATATGTTCACAAATTCCAAATCAAATAAAACATGAGGCTTTCATCATCTTTACCTCACTTGAGGTACTGACTTTCATCGTGCCCCCCAGTGGCATAGTGGTATGTGTGCAGACTTACAACACTAGAAACCGGGATTCGATACCTGTGGTGGGCAGAGCATTGATAGCCCATTGTGTAGCTTTGTGCTTAACTTCATAAACAAACAAACAAACATGCTTTCGTGATTTTACGTCACTTGTACCTCGTTTAATTTATTGATAACTGTTATTTAAAAGAGGAAAAATATATAAATATATTCATGATATATTCACGAAATTCTCAGCAGAAGGGAAATACATAATGTAACATGTTTCATAGAAGTACTACATTACTGCATCGTGGTTCTGTATAAATAATATGAAACACGGAATATGTAAAAAAAAAAGACTGTTTTAACGGGCAAGTGAAATATACAGTTAAACAGAATACATTACCATTATTAACATTTTTTATTTTGTTGATACTGAAGTCGCACGTTGGTTTTCAAAACACGTTTATAATAATTTTACCTTGCATACATTGATTTACGTGCATCTGACATGAAAAACATATGAGCGAATTGTAAAGTTTAACGTTTGATATTGATCCAACCGTGTGATGAGACGCATTGTTATCTTTAAACCATTTTATTGTTTCATCAAGATAAAACTCGTTGTTATCTGTAAACAGAGTAACAACATTTTTTTTTATATTTGAAAAATTATGCATTCTTGTTATTTAGAAGTTGAAGCTTAAAAAAGCTACAAGTATAAAATCTTTTCAGAAGCAATGTTAAATTTTTTTAGTGTATCTTTTTGAAATTAAGAGCCTTTTTAAGTAACATTATAAAGTAATGTACTTAAAAATGAAAATTTGTGAAATTCTAATGTTATTTTGTATTTTTTTTTAAATAGCTTAAGACCATCGATTCTGTTATGTACGGAGATAGGTTCTTTGTAAGGCTTAGCATCCTTACTCGTGTTGCATCAAGAAACTTTTGAGATATTTTTTGTGACTGTAGAGTAATGAACTGTTAGAAGATTTGTGTTCCTGGCATATAGATTGTGGAAATTTGAGAATTTTAGTTTATGAATTAGTACTGAGTGGAAGTATAAAAATGTACAATAATATGTCGGCCACACCGTTTCTTTTATACTCAGTGCCGATGAAGCCTTTCGCACAATACCAGGACTCTTCAGACTGGTTGGTGTACGACAGATATAGCTAATGGATAAGTTAAGTTTTGTCGTATTTATGGGCTTTGAGAGATTCGTTATTAGATAGACGTCTGACTATGAAAAGAAAAGTTCAGAAAATTTGATTGTCTTTCCCGAGTTAAACATCAAAATTGACAACTCATATTTCGCGATTCAGTCAAGAATTTTTTTTTTATTTGACCGCTTAACAATCTGCACGGTGACAAACCGGTGCATTGTACCATTAAAATAGAGAGAGAGAGAGAACGCAAGTAAGAACACTAGATGTGTATGAATTTACTGAAAAGATATGTTATCATTGAGACTGATACGTGCACGACTTTAAAACAGTGCTAAATTAATTCTCGATAAACAAGCTAAGGTTCTGATTGCCCCCCTGTAGCACAGCGGTATGTCTGCGGAGTTACAACGCTAGAAACCGGGTTTCGATACCCGTGGTGAGCCGAGCACAGATAGCCCATTGTGTAGCTTTGTGCTTAATTACAAACAAACAACAAAGGTTCTGCTTAACAGGACATATAGCTGGCGCCATCTATCTTTGGTACTGAAAAATACAATATTGTGTAAGGTAAACTCGTTTCTACAGTCTTTCGGGAATGCAAACCGTGGGTGTGTTAGAATAGATTATTTATTGTTGACATAAAGTAACGAGTAGCTTAAATTTACTTGTCACAAATTTCACAGTAACAGTTCAAGTAAAATAATGTAAACTAGGTAATTTTCTCTCTTGTTTTGTGCTTTATCATTCGATGTTTGATACATTTTCCTCTATCTCCGTTCTGACTGAATTTGCCAATTTCAACTGTTCCTAAGGCTCTAAGGTCAATTCTGCGAGTGTTTCCTTACACGGTGCCACAAAATGCTCACAATAAACAATGCGATTCCCATGCTGCAGCAAAGAAATGCGATGGACATTGCGGTGGTCATATAGTGCTCCAGTTATTTATTGGTAACCACGTGCGAATGACCACCCCATCCACTGGACGTAACACCAGCCAATTTCTTTCAGTAGGAGTACCCGAAGTCACGCGTGTACTGTGGGAAGCCTCACACAATTCCCGACTTCGAGGATGCAACTGTCCGAGAGTGGACGACAAACCAGCTGAGATGCACGTTGTTGCTGCAACTGCCGTTGCCATACGTATGCAATGGATTCTGAAGGAACACATTTTGAACAGTTAAAGTGGTTGGCCAGATATAAATCATGATGTCGTGAACGTTTCTTGCAAGATAATAATGGTTGGAGACGGCTTGAATGGGTAATGAAGAAAAACTTTAATATAAGTTTAACATAACAGCAAATGTACAAGGTTTTGTCATCATCAGGTACAAGGTAAACAACCTTGTCGAAATGTTGTGCATTTGCTGTTATGTTAAACTTATACTAAAGTTTTTCTTCATTACCCATTCAAGCCGTCTCCAAGCATTATTAGTCTCAAAGTGGGTTCCTCGTCATCGAATTTTCTTGCAAGATGTTTTCGTGATTGGACTGTTTGGCATGTCCCTCTAGGACAGCCCTGAGTTCGTTTAGAAAGAATAAAATCTTTTAATAAGTCACAGCAAGTACCAACTAATTAGCCAAAGTACTAATAACTTTAACCAGTGTACGACTTGCTTATGTTGGATATACGAGAAGTTCCCCGGTGGGTCAGCAGTAAGTTTGTGGAATTACAATGCTAAAATCCGGAATTCGATTCCTCACGGTGAACAATGCGTAAATATATTGTGTAGCTTTTCACACAAACACATATGTATACAAGTAAAGTCAAATAAACACTTGCAAATATGAATGTCAAATTTCGTTCCAGGATCAGCCAGCCCAATGATCACTGAAATTTCAAACTATGTCAGTTCTTATCAGCCCCTTGCTAAATCAATGTTAGGGGGTGATGTCGGCCTTATGTTTTCAAGTGTGAAAAACAGCTTTGTGTAGTAGCTATTTACACACATACACACAAAGACACGTCTGTATTCTATCACAGTATTAAAAAAAAAAGGTATTTCTTATCCAACATGAAAAATGTTTTTCATATTTCGACCGCAAAGTGAACTAACCTTCCAATACGAAAATATGAGTTTCATATTTCGGACAAAATGGTGAAACAACCCTACAATACGAAGAAATCTATTTCATATTTCGAACAGAAGGTGGACCAATCTCTAATACAAAAATATGTGTTTCACATTTCGACCGCAAGGTGGACCAACTCTTCAATACAAACACACGTGTTTCACATTTCGACATTCCGCTATGAAAGAACACAAAGGTATGTGTGAATAAACCAAGCGTAAATTTATAAATGAAATAAATTTTATGCATTCTGAATCAATCGCTCATTTGAACGTAATGAAGTTTACATTTTTCACACACGATTTTACAGCGTTAATGGCTGTATAGTCCCAGTGAGGCAATTTGTGTTTCAGTAACGACGAGCCTTTAGAACCAAAGTATTGATCTTAATTGCAGAAGCTGGTTCTCTCGTTAATTATTTTTCATGAAGGGGCATCGTTAGCACTTTAAATGAACTGGCTTTGAGTTGCATAATAGTGAGGGTATTAAAGCGTGTAGGTTTCTCTCTGATAATATTTTATAGTTTTCGTAATTGAAATACGATACTAATGAACAATTTTAATTACTATGCTGACCTTAGGACATCCCCAGCTAAGAAGCGTCAGTTTTCAGTCGAGTTAAAGTTTTCCAACATCTATAAAAGTTTAGGATATAAAATTGATCATTTTTGCTAAATTTACGATTTTT